GCACTTCTCCATGGTGCAGATATCAAAGATCTCACTACTTAGGGAATCATGCAAATTGCGTTCTGCTTACCCAGGTTAACGTGACTCACAGCGTTGTTCTGCCAACCGTCCCCCGAACCCACTTCTGAGGTTGACGAATCATGTGGTCAATATCACCTGTCAGATCAGTTTATGAAGTTACCCAGGGTAATGAGATGTGACCCACTGGAAGACATCAATTACCAGAAAGGCTTATTGTGGCAGACACTGGTAGAATGTGTGGTTTTCCCATTAGACATCACTAATTAGTACTGAGAGTGTCAAGTTTCATGTCCACCAGGAAAGGCTGCAGCCAGTGCAATGATGAAGCAGGAAAAGAAATTTGAATAAAAATAAGTGCCCAGGCATGGGGCAAAAACAATAGAACACCTACATACACACACRTGTGTGCCTCTCCACTCCACGTCTCTGGAAATCGGGATGCCCCACGGGTGGGGGGCAGGAAGAGCGTCTTCCTTGGTGACTGGGCACATTCACTCACAGGGAGGGTGGGCCAGTCCCTCTGATTGAGCACCTCTGATTGCACAGGGGGTGTTTCTGGAGATAGGAACTGGCTGGAAGTCCTGCGCTTGCAGGTGAGGGGAAGGGAAGAGGTCACCACCTGAGGGAGGGCAGCCTTCAGGACACACCCTGTCCCTCAATGACAGCCAGGCCTGCTGCTGTGCACCTTGCCTCGGGCCAGTGTCCCTCACAGAGGGCTCTACCGACTGGAAATGCTGTCCCAGGGCAGGAGTGAGGCAGAGTGGGGCTGTGGCCTAGTGTGTGAAAATGGGGATGCAGTCTGGCGTCCACTTCCAGTTCCCCACGTGACCTGGGTGCAGTTCCACCTGGAGTCTCCCCTTTGTGAAGTAGTGGAAGATGACCACCCTGGAATGTGCAGGTGCAGTCTAACAAACCATGGACGGATTCCCAGTGCTGAAGTCACCGAAGACTGCAGACCACACAATAGATCAGCRTACTGTGCCCAAGACGTTAGGGACAGCACATTCAAGACATCAGTTGTCCCTAAATTCATTGGTAAGCTTAATGGAATAAAAAATGTCACAGCAAGCATTTTGGTAGACAGAGAGAAGCTTACTYTAAACTTCCTATGGGAAATCAAAGTACCTAGAGAAACCAAATGTTCTAATTTTGATGAACAAAAATCAGGGAAGAATGAGTCTGCTCAATATTGAAACTCCTTCAGCTGCAGCAACCAAAGCTGTGGGCGCTGGCAGGTGGGAAAGGCATAAAATCAACAGATCAGAACAGAAAACGCAGAAACAGGGCCACCCAGCCAGACACGTCCACTAATTTTTGAGATAAGTGCAAAAGAAGCTGAATAGAGCCTTATCCTTTCAACAAAAGGTGCGGAAGGCATTACCTGAGTGTGTTCTGGGTGGTGGAAGTTCATAGATGATATGATTTTTTGGGGGGGAGGGTACTCGGGATTGAACCCAGGGGTGCTTAACCACTGAGACACACCCCCARCCCTTTTTYRTATTTTCTTATCTAGAGACAGGGTCTGGCAGAGTCGCTTAGAGCCTTGCTGTGTTGYTGTGTCTGGCTTTGAACTCATGATCCTCCTGCCTCAGCCTCCAGAGCCACTGGGATTACAAGCATGGGCCACAGTGTTGGCTTAGAAATAAATTTTTAAAAATGCATTGGTGTAAATTAATAAATACTAAAYCTTCAACCTCAGTCATACCTGCTCTTTATGTTTTCATTAGTACATTAAAATTACACATAATATCGGGGTGACATGTGAATTGTAACATCTCCATAGGTGACATAAAATAATCKGATCCAATTTATTCCCTAGGACCTCCCCTTCCCACTCCCTCCACCTGACCCTACTCTGSCGCTCTCCCTTCTTTTTCCATGAGGCCCCCTTTGTTTTCTTACACCTTTCCCTCTCCAGCTCCCGCCTAGGAGAGACAGCATCAGCCCCTCACCTTTCAGCTCTGGCTCACCCCTCAGCATGTGCTCTCCAGCTCCGTCACCTACCAGCAGATGACAGGAGGTCTGCTTCAGCTCCAGCCTCTGGAAGACACGGGATTCACAACAAGGGATTTAAGAAACAGCAGTGAGGATGCAAGCTCCTATTGGAAAGGAGACACCCAGAATCCTGCGTGTGGGTGCACAGGCTGCCAGGTCAGTCAGGATGGTGCAGGCTGCGCAGGCGAGGCCCTGGGTGCTGTGACAATGGCAATCCAGAGTACTGGTTGGGCTCACCCAGAGGTTTGAGCCTCCAGATCTGAGTCCCTGCTGCGTAGAAMAGAATGACTTGCCCACTCTCAGACCATGGAGAGGGGAGAAGATGCCCAGAGCAGACAGCATGGGCTGATCTTTGTCACTTRCAGGGTCTGTGGCGATAAACTGTTGACCTGCAGGAGACACTGAGGGTTTGTCAGGGAGCAGGAGCATCTTCTGTCTAGCCTTGACAACAGTCTGTGCTTATCTGAATATTCAACCTGTCAACAGCTGGTCTTTCAAGATTTCATGCTAAAATAAATAATAAAAAGAAAAGAAAGAAAAAAAAATCCTCTTTAAACACTGTAAGGAGAAAATAAATAAAGGGGAAAAAAGATGAGGAAGAGAAACACCTTTTTCCCTGAGGTATGACAAAGAAAACCACTACCTGTATTTTGGTAGGAAAGGAAAGAACTGAATGAGTCCCTGGATTCTGTCAGATAAGAGCTCACAGTGAAGACGGGGAGACACCGGGGCTTGAGGAGGAGACCCTGGATGGTGAAGCTGAGTCCAGAAAGCAATGCAATGCCAAGTGAAAGGTTCCAAAAGGGAGGGTCCTGCAGCCGCACCGCAGAGGAAAAGCCCCAGAAGTGCAGCTAGGCCGGGGAGGGGCTTGGGAAAAACGGGTGGAAAAGGATGGCCAGGATCCCGGGGGAGCGAGGCCCATGGAAGAAAAGTAAGTACAGCCTGGACGCACCTGACCTTCCCATGAGAGYGCCCAAAAGGAGCAGAAGGGAAGCCCAGGTGCCTCCCAGAACCTGTGCCTGAGCAGGAGAAGGCGTGTCTCAGGGTGGAAGCACAGAGGACTGTGGTCGGTCAGAGCTAGACCTGTGCACAGGGCAGTCGGCCSGCAGGGAGGATGAAGGAAACACGATGAGGTAGTCACACAGAGACAAACCACCAGGTCACCTGCCGCAGTGGGGGGTGGGGGCGGGTGGGTGGGGCTGACTGCAGGAATCCTCAATCCTCACATGAACTTTCAATTCAGGAAGGCGGTGTCACAGTCCCAGACAACTCCTCAGGAAACCATGTGGCTCTAAAGTACATGGGGCCCCGTRGTTATTCAAATGGCAGCAGACCAGGTAGAGATCTTTAACATGTAAGAGCTCTATGAATAGGGGCATGAAGGCCCTGGGATTATTTCTCAATTTCTTTTTCCAGTAGACAGCTATTGGCGTAAAGAAATTCAACTTATTTTTATAGGTTGATTCTCTATCCCCTTTTTTTTTTTACTGAGTTACTAAGTTTAGTGTGTGTGTTGTGTACGCGTGTGTGTGCACATGTGTGTGGTCATTCACAGTTTTCTACCTATAAGGTCATGTACAGATAGGCATGACAAATTCAGTTCTTCCTTTCTGGGTTAGATGCTTTCTTCTGTCTTGCTTGATGGCACTTTCCAGTGTCTCCAGTCCTTTATTAAAAGGAAGTGGCAYCCATGAGCATCCTGGCCTTGCACCAGATTATCAAAGAAAAGATGTCAACTTTCTCCCATTTATTATGATGTTTGCTGTGAGACTTTTTTTCATAAGTGAACATAATATGTTCATATTATTTCCTTCTATGCAAATCTATTTTTTGAGACTTTTTATCATGAAACATTGTTTCATTTGGTGAAATGCCTTTTCAGAATCTGCTGAGATTATCCTGTGCCTTCATCTTTCCTTCTGTTGATGTGGTGCGTGGCCGTGGATGGACCTGCCGGCATCAGAAYAAACAGCACAGCATGCTAAATCCCACGTTCTGTGCTGTATGATATCGTTGGCATATTGTCTAATTCAGCTAAGAATCTGGACAAAATATTTGCAAATCATAAACCTAATAAGAGATCTGTGTCAAAAATATAAGGAATTTGTACAATTTCATAGGCAAAGCTACCAAATAACCTGGTTTAAAATGAGCAAAGGGATTAAATCAACRTTTTTCCAGAGAAGAACTAAAAATGAGCAAGAGATGTAGAAAAGACACTTGGCACCACTACTATCCAGTGAAATGGGAACCAGGACTACAAGGAACTGTCACCTCCCACATTTTAACACGGGTGTTACCAAAAGCAGGGGCAAGAGTTGGTCAGGATGCGGAGGAGAAAAGAAGGCACCGGCACACTTTGGGCGTTCACTTGAGGCAGAGGTGGTGAGGAACAGCCTGGAGGGTCCTCAACATGCTTTAAACACAGGACCACCACACATGATCCAGCAGACTCTCTTCTGGGATATGCCCTCCCCTCAAAAATAAYGGAACCAGCACCTCTTAGAGTCATCTGCACCCCAGGTTTTATTGCAACATCATTCACAGTAGCAGAGACATGGAATCATCCTAAGTGTCCAAAGACGGTAAATGGATTAATGGATTTTGGCACACGTGTGTGTGTGAATATTATTCAGCCTTAAAAAGGGAAATACTGCTGTTTGCCATAACATGGATACACCTGTAAACCTGGAACACATTATGCTGAATAGAAGAAGTGAGAACCAGAAAGGACAGTACTGCCCAGTCACACCTGTGAGTAGTGTCCAGTAAGTCCCRAGATGAATACAGAGCATAAAAACTGGGGTTGACAACATGGCCTTTTGATTGGAAGTCTGCTGAAAGTAGATTTAAGGTGCTCTTAACACATGCATGCACACAATGATGAAGGTAGTTTGGTTTGCTAATTGCACTAGTCATTTTACTTATATATGTGTATCAAAACAGCATGTTGTATACCTCAAGCATGCATTAAGAAAAAAATTGGGCTGCACCTGCATGTGGCGCCAGGGGTCAGGCTGCAGCGCCAGAGGACGTGCTCACCCATAACTGGGACCACCTGTCTTGAATGGCAGCCCTTTGAACTGTGAGCTACATAGCAAAAAAGAAAGAAAGAAAAAAGAAAAAGAAAACAGTTGGGCTGTTAGGATACTTTATATTTGACACTTCCGTGTCCACCAAACACAAAATGGTCTTGCTGTGCTTCATTTTGATGAAATTAATCACCATCAATGTAGTGTGTACTTTGCTTGCTGGAGTGAAATTAGGGTTCCGTGGTATGTAGTGACATGTGTCATAGCTTCTGTCACTGACCTATGTGAGGGGCAGGCATGCCTTTGTGCTGTCTATTTACCCGCACCAAGCAAGTCAACTTCTCAGCGAGTGCAAGGCAGGGGCCAGAGACGCGTGGCTACTCAGTAGCATAGCCTGAGCCAGAGTGCAAGCCCCTTGACTTCAAGCCAGGCCGTGCTGGTGCTTATTATCACATCACATCCTGCTTTGCTACTGGGTCATTTAAGTCTCATTTAAAACAACTTGGTTGACCTTTCAATCACGAGCACCAGCACCAGTACTACCACATCCCTAGTAGCAGCCTCAGCACCAGCAGCACCAGCAGCACCAGCAGCACCAGCAGCAGCACCACCATCTTGCCGCCACCAACATCAGCACCATCTTCATCAGCATCAATAATTACGTTGTCTCCTCTTCCTCCAGTGCTCTCCTGTATTAAAAAAAGTCAACTTTAGTGTCTCCATTGATTTTCAGCCACAAATATATCATTTCCSCCTCCATATTTCCCAATAAAAATATTTCCTCAGGAATGCAAGAAACAAACATAAAGATATTRAAGAAATTCAATTGAGGTGATGTGAAGCTCCTAGACACATTTATCCTATTTCTGGAGTTGAAGTAGTTTCTTATTGCATTGGGAAGGAGAATGCTTTCACACATTTCAGCAAGCCTAGGGAGGCAAAGATGTTTGAGACAGGTGTTAAAATGTTATTCCATTATTTAGGGACAAAATTAAGGTTAAAGCCACCCTAGTACTTACTGTGTAAATACTCTCTCTTAAATATTGATGCTTCTGAAGATTCTTCATGTTTAATTTTTTTTTTTTTTGATTTTTACACAAGTATCTCCTGACTCTTCTATTAAACATAATAATGAAAAAGACTTTTTGTCTCTATGTCRTCTTACCTTTCTTTGTCTTCAGTGCAATTAAAACTACCTGGAATTATATTATTGCAGATTTTCTATGGCTTGCAGGGAAACAGCATGATGACAGGGAATCTGCTTTTGCCTCGTTGTGTGTAGAACAGTGTGTATATTGGATGCCATTTGCCATCTCAAGTTTTTTTTTTTTTTTTTTTTTTTTGTATAGTTGCTGTTCTTTGACGTTCATCCTTAAGAAAACAAGCATACAAACCAAACAAGCCAGGAACGTAAATGCTACCTCCACAGTCATCCCTCCCGGGTGCTACCAAAGCAGACAGCTCACACTCCGCTGAATGTGGGCCATCGACACTGTGGAAGAACGTGGAAGCTAAACAGGGCTTACCGAAGTTCAATGATTGAAGTCCCTTCTAGTTTACACATTTTGACATAAAAAAGGCTTCAGATGCAAGATAACAGACGTATCTGAAATTATTTATCTGAGAACATTTTTATTCAACAGACACACTCTCCATGGCTCCACAGGCCCCACTAACAGGAAATAAAGCTCTGTTGCTATCCAGGGGAYCTGTCCTAGTACTCGATCCTTCCCCGGTCAGTGAGAAAATCACCTAGAGAGAGAAGTCTCTGGTTTTTACTTAGTGTGGATAATGCTTGCAGAGGACTCTGTTTGAAAACAACTGAAACTATTCTTCCTAACATCATTAGCATCCCCACTGTGAGTCTCATATGGTAAAGTTAGAACAAACTACAGGTCCTTTCATTGTATGGGACCTTCATCAGAATTTGGTCTAGAACTGAAGCTGGTTGCAGAGTCTTTCTGGAGGTCCTGTTCATTCCAGTAGTGGAAACTTCATGAGACCTGGAAAAGAGCTGGCGGGGAACTGCAGAAGAATATACTGCTGTTGTTTATTTCTCTTCTTCTTTTTTTTTTGTCTTCATTCTCCCTAATTAATTCTTTATCTCTTATTTTTTCAATTCTGATGTCTTATTTATGACAACAGAATGCATTACAATTCATATTACACATATAGAGCACAATTTTTCATATCTCTGGTTGTACACAAAGTAGAGTTATATCTTTCGTGTCTTCTTAGATGTACTTAGGGAAATGATGACCATCACATTCCACCATCTTTCCTACCCCTATTTCCCCTCCCTCCCCTTTGCCTTATCTGGAATTCATTTAATCTCCCCCCCACCCCCGCATAGCATATTATAGATCAGCATCCTTAGATCAGAGAAATCATTCAGCATTTGGTTTTTTGGAATTGACTAATTTTTACTTAGAATTATATTCTCCAGCTTCATCCATTTACCTGCAAATGCCATGATTTTATTCTCTTTTATTGCTGAGTGATATTCCATTTATTTTATCCATTCATCCACTGAAGGGCATCTAGGTTGGCATCACAGTTTAGCTATTGTGAATTGTGCTGTTGTAAACATTGATGTGGCCATGTCCCTGAAGTATGATGTTTTTAASTCCTTTGGGTATAGACCAAGGAGAGGGATATTTGGGTCAAATGGTGGTTCCAGTCCCAGTTCTCCAAGGACTCTCCATACTGCTTTCCATATTGGCTGCACCAATTTGCAGTCCCACCAGCAGTGTATGAGCGTACCTTTTCCCCACATCCTCACCAACACTTATTGTCGTCTTGTATTCTTAATAGCTGCCATTCTGACTGGAGTGAGATGAAATCTTAGAGTGGTTTAGATTTGCTTCTCTCTAATTGCTAGAGATGATGAACATTTTTTCATATATTTGTTGATTGATTGTATATCTTCTTCTGAGAAATGTCTGTTCAATTTCTTGGCCCATTTATTGATTAAGTTATTTTTTTTTTGGTGTTAAGATTTTAGATTTCTTTATATATTCTAGAGATTAGTGCTCTATCTGATTTGCATGTAGTAAGAATTTGATCCCAATTAGTAGGCTCTCTATTCACCTCACTGATTGTTTCTTTTTCTGAGAAGAAGCTTTTCGGTTTGAATCCCCATCCCATTTATTGATTCTTGATATGAATTCTTGCACTATAGGAATCTTATTGGGAAGTTGAGGCCTAATCCCACGTGATGAAGATTTGGGCCTCCTTTTTCTAGGATACAGTGTTTCTGGTTTAATTCCTAGGTGCCTGATCCACTTTTGAGTTGAGTTTTGTGGGCACGGTGAGAGATAGGGGTTTAATTTCATTTTGTTGCATATGGATATCCAACTTTCCAGCACCATTTGTTGAAGAGTCTATCTTTTCTCCAATGTACATTTTTGGCAGCTTTGTCAAATATAAGATAACTGTAATTTTGTGGGTTATTCTCTGTGTCCTCCATTCTGTACAGTTGGTCTACATGTCTATTTTGGTGCCAATACCGTGCTGTTTTTGTTACTATTGCTCTGCAGTAAAGTTTAAGGTCTGGTATAGTGATGCCACCTGCTTCACTCTTCTTGCTTACAATAGCATAAAAAAAAACTTAAAAAAAGAGATAAAAGACCTCAATAATGAAAACTATAGAACTCTAAGAAATCAAAGAAGACCTTAGAAGATGGAAAGATCTCCCTTGTTCCTGTATAGGCAGAATTAATATCATCAAAATKACCATACTACCAAAAGCACTATACAGATTTAATGAAATTCCCATCAAAATCCCAATGGCATTCCTCATAGAAATAGAAAAGACAGTCATGAAATTTATCTGGAAAAATAAGAGACTGCTGTTATTTGATTCTTCAATGTGAGATACATATCCTGTTGCCCACTAAACAGGTCTACCTGACTATAGATACAAAGTGTGATAATTAAGCTTGACTGTGGGTAGCACTGTGACTGGTGCTGCCATGAATCTGCTTAGAAATCCTGCATTTTTAAATAGTGTTCAAAATACATCCCYCCAAACCAAAAGATCAGGTATGATAAGTGGAAGATTATAAGCAGCTAAAACAGCCACCCAAATGCTGATATATGGGCTACAAGATGATTCTAATTCCTAGTAAACTGACAAGTTTTAAAATTGGTATTTTGTCATTAGTTTTATGTTTTCACTTGCTTAAAGTCAGATGRAGTTTTATAAATATTATTCCATAAATAAAGATCAACTGAATATTGGCAGTGTTGCCGAGAATCCACCTGGAAGCGACCCCAGGGGGAAGGGGGACTGGTGGCCCTGTGGGGAGGTGTGCGGGGGCTGTGTGGGGGCTGCATGCCCTGGGAGACTGTGGGGAGCACCACCGTGCGCCATGGTGTTCAGTGATCGCCACTTGACCTTGTAGTATCTGAAAGGAATCGCAGCACGAGAAAACAAAGGCAGCCTGCGTCACAAGTGTGGCTCCGTGGAGGGGCCGAGGCACTCCGTGGCATGGCAATTGTCCCTCATTTGTCAGGCCGTCTGTCACCTAAATCAAAGTTATGGCTCATTCATTAGGTGTCCTTTGAGTCCCCTCCTCGGTGGTCACAGTAAAGCTGTGCACCATTTCTGCCATACAGTCATTAAAAAGACGCATGGGCCCTGCGCTCCGCTCTCACTTTTCAGGCTGAAGTCCGATGACTTACAACTTTCATTCCTGTGGGCAGCAGGGTGTTTGTCAGCCGTCATGAGTGACCTGGAGAGGGGCTCAGGGTGCAGTGTCTACAGTGCGGTGGAGAGGAATGAACATCTCTACACGTGCTCAGATACTATGTCAGGCCATACGAAATTAGCTGTCATAACAAGTCCATAAAGCCTTAACACACCATTCATCTTGCTCAGCTTATAAAGTACATCGCTCTGCTGAGCTGATCTGAGCAGCTTGCTTTGCAGGACAGAGCAATCCAGCAGTAACCAGAGGCCCGCATGGCCCGACTGCTGAGAGCTGTCTTCACCTTGCATTCTGTTCCTTTATTTGCTCATCTAACTGTAGGCAAGATGTCCATCTCCTTAGCTTCCTCTTGAT